CGGCACTCTACCCAGGGAGACAGCTTGAGGCTCTGTCAAAAAAAAAAAAAAAAAAAAAAGACACTGGGCATTTGTTCTTTCCCACAGATGGGTAATGTCATTTCTTCTTTCCCACAGATGGGTAATGTTCTCTATCTAAGGGAACACCCAGATAACATGTTCTCTCGCCAAGAGAACTTTCATCAGGTGGGACCACTGTAGCTCCCAGGTACCTCATTTTTCAGCCCGTGCTGTCAGAACACCCTGCTGGGCTGTATTCTGAACCACTGGGACATGTTGGATCCCCCAACAATGAACAAAGAATGTATGGTTTTCTTCTGCACCCAGCCCTGGCCTTAGTATCCGCTCACAGTGGTGAACAATAACCACCAGAGAGTACTCTAAATTACAGTAAACAAGAGGGGAAATGGTCTGAATTATCTACCTGTAATCTCTTTTCTCAGAGACAATCTCAACTATGTAAAACCTATGAGATAGATCCAGCTTTCTGGGCTGTAGTAACTTCTTCAAATGGCCAGGGATTCCTGAGAAAGAAGTTGTCACCACCTAGTTCAAACCACCGTCACTTCTTCCACACCTTCCTCCATGCCTTTAGAAAACCTCAAGAAGGGAGTCTGCTATAAGAGTTTCTTCCAGGCCTGTTGGGACGCCCAGAAAGCAACTGTATCCTTCTTTGTTTCCCTTGGTTGAGACTGCCAGTGGTGAGAGGGGAAATGTATGAGTATTCATTCCATTTTCTCTGGAAGATTTAAAACAAATTAAGATTGAGTTAGGAAAATTTTCTGGTGACTCACGCAGATGTTCTCCAAAGGTTAAGAGAAAGCTTTGACCTCTCTTGGAGAGATAAAATGCTACTAGTAGTGCAAACTTTAACTTTGAGTGAGAAAAATGAAGTCTTAGATGAGGCTAGAAGGTGGGTGACTAGTGGTTCATGTCCAATACTGATAGCAGTATGTCCTCGGAGGAAAGGAACAGATACCCCATGTGAAGATAGTTCCCTTGGAGGATCCTGAATGGGACCCTAAAAACACTGAGACCAGTGGTGTAAACATTTTCTAACATGTATCCTGGAAGTTTTATGTTGATCCAAGAAAATGCCTATCAATTATTCTAATTTGTCCAATATTTACCAGGAAAAAAATGAAAATCCTGTAGTCTTTCTTGAGTGGTTTAGGGAGGTGGTGAGAAAACATACCCTATTTATTGCCTGGCTCCTTAGAGAGCCAAATTATTTTAAAAGGTAAATTTATCATTCAAGTGTCCCAGACATTAGAGAAAACTCTAGAAATTGGCTCTAGATCCCGATCATAACCTGGAGAATCTTCTTAAAATGGCCACAGTAGTTTTTTATAGTTGAGATTAGGAGGAAGAGGAGGAAAAAGAAAGCAGCCCTAGTAATGGCACTCCGACAAATGGGGACCATTCTGGGCAGAGGGAAGCCAGAGGACCTAAGAACAAGTGCTTCCAATGTGGTTGGGCTGGCCATTTCAAGAGAGATTGCCCCCACCAGCACTGCCTGTAGGGCAAGCCATTGGCCCTCTGTCCAAAATGCAAGGGTGACCACTGGAGGACAGCCTGTCCCTGGAGGCGAAGGCCTTCTGGACAGTGATCTCATCAGCCCTCAAACTGGCCTGAGGGTGCCCAGGGCAGTGGCTCATGGCTCTTCTTGTGTCATCACCCCCTCTCCTCATAGTGGAGGGCCAGGAGATGGCATTTCTTTTGGACACTGGAGCAAATTTTTCTATACTTTTCTCTAACCCTGGCCTTTGATTCTCCAAATTTGTAACTAAATGAGTTATCAAATTCTTCTCTCAGTCTTTAAGCTCCAGTTGGAGTGACTGGCTGTTCTCTCATACCTTCCTAATCATGCCTGAAAGTCCTGTTCCCTTTTTGGGGAAAAACATACTAACTACCATTTATATGAATATGGAACAAGAACCTATACTATGCCTTCCTTTATTTATTAGCGTCAGAAATTAACCCGGAAGTATGGGTTACCGAGAGACAGGTGGGAAGAGCAGAATATGCTCTACTGGTTCAAATTAAGTTAAAAAATCCCACCATCTATCCCAATCAAACACAACACCCTCTAAGAGCAGAAGCTAAGAATGGGCTAATACCATAATACAGAATCTAAAGCGACAGAAATTGTTAATAGAAAGGAGTGCCAAAGCCAGACGGGACTTTGAGATTAGTCCAAGACCTCCACATTATAAATGAAGCAGTCATTCCTCCCCATCCTATAGTTCTCAATCTGTATACTTTATTATCTCAAATCCCTGAAAAAGCTGACTGTTTCATAGTCCTAGACTTAAAAGATGACTTTTTCTGCATTTCTCTTCATGAAAATTCCCAATACTTTTTTGCTTTTGAAGAACCCTCTGTCTTCTACACCCAGCTTACATGGACTGTGCTACCTCAGAAATTTAGGGTCAGCCCTCAGTTGTTTGGACAAGCCTTAGCCCAAGACTTGAGTGGTTTCTCATATCCCACAGGGACTCGTATTTGTATGTAAATGACATTCTTTTAGGAGGACAAGATGCAGAGAAATGCTGCAAAGCTAGCCAAGCTCTACTTAACTTTCTAGCTGATTGTGGGTACAAAGTTTCCAAGGCTAAAGCCCGATTATGTATGTGTGCCTGAACTACACTATTTGGGTCTCCAGCTTTCATAGGGGAACAGAGTATTGGGCAAGGAAAGAGGAGAATGAATATTGGCTCACCAGAAAGCTCGAACTCTTGGACAACTTCAAGTCTTCTTAGGAATTACAGGCTTTTCCAGACTCTGAATTACTGGATATAGTGAATAGCTAAACCACTCTATTCTTTAATTTAAAATACTCAAAAAGAGTGCCTGGTCACTTGAAAATGGGAACAGGAGGCAGCTTTCCAACAGCTGAAAAATGCTCTTTTACAGGCCCCTGCTTCAAGTATTCTTACCAGACAACAATTTAGAGCAGACTGGAATTGCCCTAGGAGTCTTGACCCAACACCAGAGTCCAGTTTTACAACCTGTAGCTTATCATAGTAAAGAAATTGACACCTAGGCCATGACATGGCCACACTGTTTATGGGTGTTAGAAGCTGTAGCTCTCTTAACCCCAGAGGCAATTAAGCTAACTTTGGGAAGAGTCCTACTTGTTATATTTCTCATAACCTTACTGGACTTTTAATTTTAAAAGGCACTCTTTTGCTGTCAGATGATGTACTAATCAGATTTGTGTCTTCCAGAGATGATATCATCAGGCCACAAACAGTGAAAAGGTTTCTAGCCCAAGACCTGATTCTGTTGCTAACCCCTGAATTGCCCTTCCTCCAGAGAAAAGCGAACTTCCCCTTTCTAGTGATATTGGGTTTCCCCATTCAAGACCAGACAAGGGACTCAAGTTTCCTAGGCCTGGACAATTTCATGAAGAGAATACTCTGACATTTGCCCCAAGCTAGAGGGATCAATCTGGATTTCCAATTACTATGAACTGTGGATCACTCTTCTCTGAGGAACTGCTCTAGTATTTCACTGTCATCTTCAGTAAGAAGCAATTTGGAGTGGTCAGAACCCCTTTTCCCTAATAGAAGTTAGATCTTATTTTCAGAGAGGGAAGATGGATAGGATTCCCTTTCAGTTATATTTATTTAGTTATTTAAGACAGAGTCTCACTATGTTGTTCTCAGTAGTGTGCTGTGGCATTACAGCTCACAGCAACCTCAAACTCTTGGTCTCAAGCAATTCTCTTGCCTCAGCCTCCTGAGTAGCTGGGATTACAGGTACCCCCCACAACGCCTGGCTATTTTTTTGTTGTAGTCATCGTTGTTTGGCAGGCCTGGGCTGGGTTCAAATCTGCCAGCCCTGT